ACTAACGACCAAATATATCCAAACGGATTCTTTGTTGTAAATTCTTCGACCAAAAATTTTCCCAACGGAAAGTACGCGAAATATTTAATAGCAAAATAGGAATAACGATGCAAGGTATCTCGTTTACAGCCGACATCGCGGTGGCGAGATATTTCTTCGCGAAGAAAGGGTTGAGCCAACAATGGAGATAGTTACCCGGAAACGTAACCCAGCGGATAACATTCAAGTGTTTAATTGGGAACCCGAAAAAAGGACGAGGTGAATACCGAACGAAGAAATAGCTCTCGTGTTCGGGGACTGTGGAACTTCTTAAATCGCGTTTCAATTTCACCCTTTCGATAGAGGGTCGTCGCGAGAGCTCATAAACCTTGCCGGAAATCAGAATGCTAAATGGACCGAGGAGGACTTACTTAAGCGTCGGGAAGAGGGGGATCCCGGGGACTTTGAGGGTGAAATCTCGAGCGCCGAGGCGGTCTTAGGTTCGCGTCAAAAACGTAAAGCTAGAAAGGCAAAAGACACGCGTGCAACCCGAGCGAGGGGAATCGATCGGTCGTTCTTATTCCTTAAAATGGCTTCTGCTCTTCCCCCGTACGTAGCGGAGGTAATAAGAACCAGTCGCGAGGATCGGGGACAAGATTTAAAGCGAGCCAATCGCTGCCATATAAACGTTTTTCGAATATACTGCCATCGACAGGAGAGGGGGGAGGTGTGTTGGGGGTGGCGTCGAGAAGCTTCGACCAATAACAATATATACTACCGGGCTTTATCAATGCTATTTGTCTTTCGATTGAAAAGCCGGAATGAATTCAGAAAGGGCGGAACCTTAAGTCGGGAGCGATCTAAAACGACGGAACGATCTCCGCCTAGCGTCGGGACGCTCGATTTACGGCCCGCGCCGGAGACGACCGCCGGATTTATCTTCCGCTTCTCACCCGCGGATTAAACAGACCAAATAAAGCATCGTCGTATCGCGGAGAATACGGTTAAGGGAAATTCATTTTTCACCCAACGCTTCGCGCGGGCAGAACACGTGAGAAAAATTCGGTATCCGACGCCCCCGCACGGAAACGCAATCCGTCTCGGGGACACTCTAACTCGCGAAACGTTTGAATAAATTGTTCGACCGGCTAGATAAATATCGGACCAGGGTCGGTATAGAATCTTCAAATACTGGCCAAACGGGGTTTCCTTAAACTTCAAAATTCCTTTCTCGAAGATTAACACTATTATTATCAACACTAGGTTTACGAACTCATTCAGATTCTCGTTAATATTATTTGTTAGCAGTTTATGTTGAATTTAATATGGAAAACTGCATTTCAATGTCAATACAACGAATTACGAGTGTTCGTAAACCTAATGTTAAGTAAGAAAAACAAGGCTCACACGTTTACTTTTCGTTTCAGTGTTTGAGAAATCTACAAGTGAAAATGACGTCTTCTTTTTCAACAGAGAATTGAATTACAGCTTTTAAATAAACATAAAATTGTTGTGTTTCTTGACGAGCCATTACCGCGACACGACACCGATTCAATAATATTTCACGAAAGGAAACATAAATATACGATTCGATAAATGATGAGGCTCCCGATATCCCGTAATGGATCCATGGCATTAAACTTTCATTCCACGCGAGAAGTTTCTTCTTTGTAACCGTGTAACTCTTTCTCGAACCACTTTAGGGTATAGAGAACAATAAAAAAAAGAGTTATTCTAAGCGATAACCTTAAAAGTTCGCTGGTAGTGTTCTTTTATTGATTCGGTCGCCGTGTCGACGGTGGACATTTTCTTAGACCGTGATCAAAAAATAGCGTCCACGGTTTCGCTTGTAACAGAACGGCAATGATTACGCGTAAAAATGTACTGAACATTCCGTGATACGTATTTTTCTGAAAAAATGGCACGCTCCGGTGGCATTTCAACGAGCAAAGGGAATCTCCAACGAAATTCTGGCGCGCCAGAGGCGAGCCACGCGAATGAAGCTGTCTCGTTCAAAGCAAAAACAGGCACCAACACTTTTTAATTAATGCATTCCGCGTCTACTGACATCCTCATTTTCCGTACGGAATATTTGCCCGGTGGTAAACGGGTCACGCGGATGGAGCACTTCGCGAATCGCCTTTGCGATAAGGCGATTAGAACCGGGTACGGGTAGCGTATAAGATTTCCCTTCTATAACCGTGTCACCTGTTATTGAACATGTACGCGGTACAATCTGTCTACTGTACACGATTCGACCAATATTTCGTTCATCGCGCGGAAATGGAAACACCATTGTCCGAGTCGATGATTCTTAGCAATAAGTTGAATTCGATTTGAAACTATTCGGTACAAAGCAGGTTAAAGGTGTTCCAAGCGATTATTATTAACACTTTCGAACATGAAACTTAATTTTTTAAGGGATTTTATATCAATGATATTTTAAACATAATTTCTGGAAATAAAATAGATAAATTTTTGTTTTACAAAGTTATTCGAAGGTCGGTGTAAAGCATGTTCATGAAAAGAAATCTTTTTTCTTAACAGAATATCTTGACAGATCTCTGATTTTTTTACATATTTTAGTAAATTAATATATATAACCCGACAAAATAATTTCGAATTCACAAATATAAATCGAGGCACAAAGGTTTGCCATTGAATAACAAAAATCCTAACGATCGAAGTCGGGTTCGAGCAGCGTATAAGATAACCGTGTTACCTGTTATCGAGTATTTCGTCGTTCACGCGGAAAAGGAAACTTCGAAACGCCGTCTATCGCGCAAATTGATGCTTCTTAGGAATAAGTTGAATTTAATTTGAAACTATAGGGTACAAAGTGAGCCGTTCGAAGCAATAAATGGATTTGTCTCGGAAAGTAAGTTGAATAGGAAATGAACACGGAGATACGGAGAATCAAAGGATTTTCTATACTTCGAGGATAAAAGGCATTAGAACTTTTCAGAGAAGTAGACGTATGTATATTGCGAGGAAAGGAAACGTTAAAGGAATTTCAAGAACTTTTAATATTTTTAAAACTGCAAAGTACGTAGACTTTTTCACTCGGAGTTGGGCGGTCAAAAAATCACTGCTATATCGGATCTAATTAAAAATCTTAACTGTTGCACTCGAATTATTAATATTAGAAAAAAGAAAAGCTATGTAATTCTTTTTTCGTATATCTTATTTTTGAATATAATTATACATTCTATAAAATGGTTAATCGACTAATTAACTAAAGACAAGAGCAATTCCAATGTCCGTTTTATTTATTCGCGTTGTTACGGTTTCTCGTTCGGAGTAGTATCTTTAATTAAGCGAAATATAAAGTACAAGTTTTAATGAAAAATTGTGATTAAGTAGCGCGCGAACAACCGAGTAGTCCAAAGCTGAAAATTAAACGCTAAAAAGATCCAAAGGATAGATCGTCGGTGTTAGCGTGGAAGCGTTTAATCCCCGAATGCACTTCGCCTTGAGAATCCTAAGAGATTCTAATCGCAGAGGATCTTGTTGGTCGGGTAATTGAAAAGCTGGTAGCTCGAGTAGATAAACATTTATTTGCCACCCTCTGACCGCACGACCGATAAATTCACCGAAACTTTGTTCGTGGCTGTATTTTATTAACATAGGCGGGGACAGACAATGATTTATCGTGCACCGGAGACGATTAAGGGGGCAGTCTGGGTATTTTCGACCGAAAATTAAGGATCCATTATAATTGTTTCTTGTTTTCTTTTTTGCTACGAAGGAATAATTACTCGTCGACGCCTTATTTTTTTTCCAGTTAAAAAATATAAATATTGGGGCCGATGATTTAAGGAGGTGTTATCGTGATTTAAGGAGAACCGTACGTTTTGCCTTTTTTCGGAACAAAGTTCGACTCACGCCACCAGCATTAACGCTGTTCAGGGTGGTGTCCAACTTACAAAAAATAGAATTAAAAACGTGACCATGAAGTTTAATGTACCGTTAATAAAAGTTTTTTAATAAAAAAAACTTTGTTACGCGCGTAAGCTGAGAGTTCGGAAATTTTTTTAAAATTTAACACCATCGGTTATCACTGCTTGGAAAATCATCGCCTAAGAAATTGCTTAATACACATTTTAAAATACGTTCTCCAACATCGTTACGAAACTTTTAATTTCGCTGTTTTTAAGACGATTATCAAGCGATACTTTGATTCTCTGGTGGTGTGTTTTTTTAAATACAATCATATTCGACGTCGAAGCCAAAAAGTTTGTAATAAATCCGACTTTAGAATGGCTTTCCAATATAAAAACAAACTAAAAAGAACACTGCAATGTTATATACGAGATGTACAATACAATAAATCACACAATGGGCGTATAAAAAGGAAAGACGAAGAATCTACGAACAAAAACTAACCTTCGAACCAAACTGGCGCTAGTATTGAAACTTGAAATTTCACGTCACATTTCCATACTTTAAACTACAGAAAAATATACAAACGAGTAAATAAAACGATGCACTCTAAAGTTTTGATATATTCCAGCCGTGATTGCCACGATTGAAAAAGCTTCTGCAAATTGAAGTTTTTTTTTACCCCGTTGCAAATTAAATAACGTTGATAATTCTTTAGACGCCTCGGTATTCCACACACGCTGCCTCTGTCGACAAAAAGATAATCCGTTTTTCAGGGAGCCAAAAATAATTTGGATCACAGGGGGGGATTAATGGACGAAGGTGGACGCGAATCTCCTTCCTTTTCCAGCCGATACGTAATTGCGGAAGCAATTAAATCGTAAAATATTGAGCCACCTTCGAGCGTAACTGGATACAGTGTGCGTTATTCACCGCGTGTTCGATATTCCCGCGACATGAATATCGCAATTTTTATCGCCGCTACAAATCACGCGCAGATCACTTGAACGCGCATTTATTCCCGCATGGAAAAAAAATATACGCCGAGTTCGAACTGTAATTGAAACCGATCGACCCCCTTTCCCCACCCCACCCCGGCACACGACATTTCTATTAACGCTTCCCGATGTTTATTTCAGATGAGACGTAAATCCCAGAACGCGCCTTTTTGCTTCCTGCTGCTATCGCTGTCGATCGCCTCGACCTACATTGTCCCTGTCGTCGGTCATAAGGTGAGTATCGACGCCTGCATCGCGTACATCTCGTTGAACATAATTACACATTGACCTGGACGCGATAGCATTCACCGTAACGCGCGTGGCTTAAAAAAAAAAACGACGTTTACAATCAATTCGCGCCTCCATTTTGTATATTTTAATACCGTTTTGTCGCTATACGATTGCACCTGATTAAAACAGAGGTATTATCGTTAGAATAAAATAATTATATATTTATACATTTTATCTCAGATGCTTACCTGTACAGTATCAAAATAGCCTTGCAAGCTTGTAGTTTCTAAATCTTGCAAGAATTACGACGATCCACTGGGTTCGAGTCTGAAACACGAGCATGTTAAATTAGTACACGAGTTTGTTAAATAATCATTCTTTAAGGAACCATACACGAGCAATGTGCAACATTAAGAGAGTTTATTCGAATAATTTAATCGATTATAGGAATTTCACCGAGTTATCGAACATTGTATATAAACAATTTATTAGAATTGGTCGCTAACTCAGTTGCGAGCTAATGGCGTGAATTGTTCATTGAATTTTCTATGAACCGCTGTAGGCGCGATTAGTGACACTGCCCACCAATTTAATATTGGGATGACTAATTTAACTAACCGACACCGGACATATTCGTAACAGAAAAGTGGCAGAAAATTTGTCAAAAAACAACGTAACTAAAATAATACAGATTTCTATACGTTTCGGTTACGCAACAATATTCGTGACCGTAATTTTGTTTCGATAGCCATTATTAACGAGGGAAATTTATTTCGAGTTCTCACGATGGTAATCGATGAGGGAAATTTACTTCGGTCGCAATTGACCGATCAAATTTTTCGCTGTACGTCGTGGTTTATGTTTCACCATTACCAACGGTACACCTTTTTGCTTCCAAATTACTCGTAAATAAATTTTCGATCATTTTTATCAGCGACGAAAAAAAAACATGGTACTTCTAACTAAAAAAATTTTAGTAAATAAATTTAGTTTGCAAATATTTCTTGCGTTATCTCTGTTCACAATTTATTTTCGAGTTAAGAATCCTTTTAAATGCATTTCTATGAAACAAAGTATTTCTAAAGTATATGGTAAGATGGATCATAAATGACCCATGGTCGACCAACCCTAACATTGTTCACAAAACTGCTGTCCGAGGGTTTAAACGCGTAATCGAAGTTACACGATCTGGAATGTTCGACGTTTTAGTAAATGAAACTCGATTCCCGCTTCGAAATGTCTTCTAACCGTTACGATCATAGATCGACTGTGTCCGCTCGAAAACTTTTCGAATTCTCCGCAACAACCGTACCGCGGATTCAGTGACGATTATTTGGGGGTTAGTCGAACGTGATTGGCCATTCGATTTCACGGAGGAACAAGACCAGACGTATCCCACGGGACAAAGCGTATTCGAAACGTTTTCGCTAATTAAAAGGGTCGATTCCTAGGACAAACTGCACGGGATGTCGATGTTGACTCGCCAGGGCGACGTTTTAAAATTGTTGATTCGACCATGAATTTCGAACCATTATATTTTTGTCCAATTTCTAATTTCTTTGTGAATAATAAACATTTATATTTCTAAATCTCATTGAGTTCTTTTAAATCTAATATTGACTACCATTAACAAATCTGATTGAACCTTTAGAGCAAACGAAATTGTCACAATTTAAAAAGCAAAACCCAAGCGTTGATTTGTCATGGCGTGGAAAAATGTTTTTTTCAAACCACTGTACACGAAAAAAGAATGGCAGAAAAATCCTGGGAACCAGAGTAGAAATAGTTTCGTTTTTCGTATACCTGTCTACCTGCTCGCCTACCTGTTCGCCCGCCTCGGAAACGCACAATATTTCTGTACACAGATTTATGGATCGACCCGGTTCACCCCTCGAAATTCTTTTTTTCCGCCTTTTTGCTTCCTCGGGTGCACCAAGTTATTGGCGTCGAAGCGGAAGGAGGACGCTGGCAGATGGAGAGGAGAAGGAACCAAGAAACTGCGATGGGAGAATACTTGAAATAGAAGCAAGTGAGAGGATCGGTCTCGTGGGATTTCAGAAACCGAAAAAATAACCAACGATGAACGGAGCCGTTTGCTGGTTATTTCGGTGTCGATTTTCCTTCCGATGGAAATCCGTGATGCGGGAATACCAGTAATTCGGCGTTAATTTCTCGACGAAACGAAAAACGGAATTATAAACTAAAAAATTCCAGGATTTTTTATTTCATGACGATTTCTTTTTTATGTTATAGATAATCATTACCATTGCAAGGATATCAAATACATAACTTTTTTCCTCAGCTCGAGATTTAACATTTTGTGGTAAAATTATTATAGACACATAATCCATGCATTTACAATAACTGTGTTTAAACAAAGTTTGATCGATGACATCAAAGCTTCGTTATAATCTATGATACTTGGTTTAACACTAAACCTACCACAACTGGTCACTTGATTGGTTGAACGATTTATATTTTTTTGTAAAAAACCGGATACAATCTGGTATTAAATTCTGGAAATACATAGCAAAGATGAAAGGAGACAATCTTCAGTTTCCACTGTCTTAAAACAGTCTGAAAACGCGTATTAAAAATAGTCAAACTTTACACACACGCAGTTCCGAAACTACTAGTGTTTTATTAATAATTGAGCCACCATTAGAAGCGGCAAAGCCTCCCCTTTGAAATGGTTTTTGATTTTTGTTGATCTGACATTCCGTTTTGGAGATATCGTAATTTTTTTAATTCGATACGAGCACGTGCGGTCAACGACCTTGGCAAGGCCGTAGTAAGAGAGTTCATTGACCGCGTGACGTAAACAATGACAACTTGACTTGAAACAAAAATCGCTATATCTCCGGAACTAATTACACTATCGACCTGTACAAGCACTCATTTTAAAGGGCTTTTTATCCCCCATCCTATGAACGTAACAACTACTATACTTTATGCTATCTTCTATGTTTATTTTGACATTTACTTTGACATTATATACTCAAAGAAATTTTAACAATTCCTATTGATCGTACAACTTGTGTGCGATAAAACTGAATTATAAATTGTTTATTTCATTCAAAATGAATATAAATTTATATACAGGATGTTCGTATAATTACTAAGCAGGCGATCGTGGTAGAAATGGATATACATAAAGTGTTGATGGGTTTAGTGTTAATGCAATTCTTTCCCTTTTTCTGTGCAACAGTTTCAAAATTGCAGACTGCAGAAAATAAAAGAGCATCTTATATATCGACAAAATTATTTCCCTATTTGTATGTATCGCTACCGTATATCTCGTTCCTATCGTATCGACTGGTTAAAAATGTATTACTTTCGTTTGTACGGGTAGATGTGAACTACAGTCGGTCGCACGGTTCGCTAGAAACGTTCTTTCGCCTTTTATTTACAAAGATTCTCAATGATTGTGCTGCTGGATGTTCCATTAGTTCGCGAAGTGATAAGCAACACAGTGCATCGGTAATGTGCATTACACGCGCGATACTCCGGCTGTAGAGACGGCACAATGGGAATTTCACAAAGGACAGGGAAAGAATTGCTGTAGACGTTGTCGGTGCCACCCCCTCCTTGCCCCGGTGCATCGGTGTAATTCAACAATATTCGCGTGACAGTCCCTTATCGGGCAAGAAATAGCATAACCGGTTTCTTCGAATGGATTCCGCTGTAGAGTGACCCACTTGCCATGGGTGGTAATAATCGATCAAACTCAAATACGATCCGCTAAAATAGCATGACATTTTCTATTAACGGATGTTATTCAGAACACGACCCAGAAGTCAGAATACGTGCAGCGCGCGGCATACGTATGGAAATTAATCGTTATCGCTTTGACATTTTGTATGAAAGTGTTTGAAATCCGTGCTAAATTAATGAATCTATAAAAGTGCATCAAATTAAATTAAAACACGACGAGACTGTCGCTGATAAATTTTATTCGATTAGAGTGAAAAGTGTACAAGCTGTTTTATCGAAAATCATTGGCGACGATGACAGAATCTTTTTTTAGTATTGTTAGAATCGATGCCCACCTTTTTGTAGGACAATGGCTGACAAATGCAATTTTGGACAATCGTTTATATTTTTATATTTTAAAGACCAAGAGCTTCACTTTAATCACGTGCAAATACGTTTCCTAAAAACGTCATGTAAATACAAATAAAATTAAGTTGCACTGTTTATGTATTGTAAGATCACTATGATGGCGTCTGTGTACGCCTGACTTAGTGGTTGTTTATTAAAAATGAGCAAGTACTATGAGACAAGATGGTACGACCACCAATGAGCGACGTTTTCTATAGGCTTTGCTCAGCCCCAGGCATCACAAAGACAACAGTAATATTTCGCGTCGCATTCCTTTCAGGGGTTTTCTCTGAGAGCCTCGGAATGTCACTTTCATTACTTAATGGTGGAAAATTTGTGGCTTATGCATTTGGGTCATAAACTGTTTAAAATTCAGTTCATACGCGATAATTATTTCGTCTTAATTCATTTGTTATTTTTGCAATTAATAGTGGTATGAACGCTCTATAACTCAGCGTGACTCAAGTTATATACCAATTATCTACACTTTTTAAATTAGAATTTCATTTTATTAAATATCCAAAATAGCAACTACTTAAAAGATAATACAATTTTCCAAGTAAACGTTATTTACTATTAAAATCACTATCTAAAATTGCAAATATTTATATGACAATTCATTTAAAGAAAGGAAGATCGTAATGTACTAAACAAAGTTTCAGTCGAATTTTCAACATTTCTAAAAGAAATCAGCTTGTATCAATTTATGGGGTTAGCCCTGTGTAATAGAATATTCTACAGAATATTTAATAATGCTAGTAATATTGTTTCATAATGATAAATCGTTTCAATGATTCACGATAGTTACTGTTTGATCGGAAAGAGTGAAACTGACAAGAGGGTCATCAAAATGCCGCGATGCCAAACGAAGTAAATTCAACAGTGGTTAAAGCTGAAACATAAACACGAAGCTACTAGAATATCTATTGTGTGCACATTACATTTGATGGCGATTAATCCAATTATTCTAGCGTTAACAGCTTCGAAACGTATTTAACAAATATGTATACCCTGCCAGTGGCAAATACGAACCAGGTTCAATAATATACTCCTTGTCGAGATTGTCCACGATCGAAGGATGCATTTAATAACACACGATGGATTAAACATTATTATAAAATTTTGAGTAACATTTGCATGGAAAATATTATGTTAAGAATATATACTGAGATATAGTGTCTTCGAGATCACACCAGAACATGCAAGCTAATTTATAAAAAAAGAAA